GATTTTGTGTTCACTAGAAAGGATAACCCTCAGGACAATAAAAATGACGATATGAATGTAATACATTTATTTTTTGTTTGGTTTTTTAATGTTTTGAATATAGTACATTTAATAAAAATGTTAAGATTAATATTCTAACAGTAATGCTCACTTAGTTACCAATCATTAGATGGATGTTACTTTGAGACTGAACATTGTGGTACATACCTGTAATCCTGGTACTCAGGAAGCTGAGACAAGAGGATTGTCACAAGTTTAAGGCCAGCCTGAATTACAGAGCAAGATCCTGTCTCCAAAAAAAAAAAAAAAAAAAAAATCTACTGCACATTTCCTTTTAAGACAAAAAATTTAAAAGCCCTGGAACCAGCCTTTTAGTATAAGGAGAACTGAGCTTCAGTGTTTTACTGTATGCCATAATTTAGTTAGCTATGTTCTTTTTTTTGGTAGTGCTGGGGATGGAACCAAGCACTGTAACACTGAATTACATCCCTGTCCCTTTTTAATTTTTATTTTGAGATGGGGTTTTGCTGAGTTGATGCAGCTGACCTCCAACTTGGGGTCATCCTTCCTCAGCCTCCCAAATACAGTAGCTGAGATTACAGGCATGTGCCACCATGCTCAGATGTTTCCAGTTACTATCATAAACTACGTTTGTAAATGATTTCCCCAATATTATTCTTTAGAATAAACTTTCCAGAATGGTGTTATTTATTAAGTCATATGCTCCATATTTTTTTAGTTATTGAACTACTTGGTGAGAATTTTAAAGCCATGGAGAAGGAACTCACCAAAAAAAAAAAAAATGGTAGTAATGTGTATTGCATTAGGAGTGCCTACAAAGAAGAGGAACCAGCAAGTAAAACAAATATAGAAGAAATAGGAACAAGTATAGAAGAAACAGGAAGAATACTGTTTGGTATAACACAAAGGAAAAAAGCCATTGCATGAAAGATTATAAGTAATAAGAAGTCCATTCAGTAAGACCTGTAGATTTGGTAAGCAAGTGGGCTCAGTGCACCTTTAGAAGCTTGTAGGGATAGATAGAAGCTTAAGTGATTGTGTCCGAAGGAGGAGGCAATAGATATTGACTGAGTTCAAGGAGTTGGACCATTGAAAAGAAGGCCTGGAGAGGGAGAGGGGGAGGGAGAGGGAGAGAGAAGAGAGTGCGAGTGAGTGTCAAGGGTCTACTGTACGTTACAACTGAAATTCTGGTTGTAATCAGCATGGTTTGAATGTCAGGTTGGTTGTGACCTGAGGGTCCATTGTATCTTCTCTACATTTTGGTCCTTATTTACACTTTCAGTTTCTCACACTAAAGAAACAATGCAGTATTTAAACATGTGCGTCCAAGAGTATGGTCTTAAAGTGCATCCATTTAGCTAGAAGCGTCTCAAGTTTTTTTGTTTTTTTTGTTTTTTTTTTTTGGTACCGGGGATTGAACTCAGGTCCTTGAGCTTGCAAGGCAGGCCAGTGAACCGCTGAGCTAAATCCCCGGCCCGAGTGTCTCAAGTTTATCCTGATTCTTTTGTGATAGATTTGAAGTTAAATTTGTGGCTCAAACCAAACTTTCTACTTTTTGAGGACAGTGTTACCTATCATTTTTATTCATCATATTTAAGAGTAGCTGTGTATTGTGCTGTGGCTGTAATCTGTACTACATAGCATATTTCATGCTTTTTGACTCCCCCCCCCCCAATGGGGCTTGAACTCAGAACCTTGTGCTTGTGAAGCAGGCGCCAGTGCCACTGAGATAAATCACTGGTCTGTGCTTTTTTTACATTTTTTTGCCTAAAGTAATTTACTTATCAGAATCTCTACGTAGCTTAGCCAAATCTGAAAGGTAAAAAATTTTAAATCTCTGCAAGAAAAAAATTTAAATATCCTTCTACAGTCAAAAAATCAACTTTGTCTGGCTTAGTACTAATTACTGCTTTTTACCTGAGGTAAGAAATGTCAGACTAAAAGGTAGAAATAGACACATAACTGTATGTTATTTCAGTGAGTTAAAGTTTCTGGGTAACTTAAATATTTTATTTGGAGTGTTAATTTCCAGAACACCAGACATACCTTTCAGAGTAGCATGAGAAATTAAAGTTTGATACTGGGATTGCAAATTTAGAGCCAAACAAGTTTAAAATACATATTGCGTATATAGGGTTCATAGTATTCAGCTGAAAGAGGGCAGTTTTATTTAAAAGGAAGTTATTCTTCAGTTCTAATTGGTTCAGTTTTTATCTGTTAATCTGAATGTCCCACAAGAAACTTGAATTTGACAGGTCCATAAAAATCTCACCTATCTCCAATTGCACATAAAAGAGCACTTCCTCTTCCTGTGTTTCAAGATTAATACCCCTCATCATCTATGTAGATTAATATCCTGGGATCATCCACACTTTTTTCTTTCTTTCACTTCACACATCCAGTTATTCCCAGATCCAGTTTATTGGGTATCTCTATTAAATCCTTTGATTCTTCCAGTTCATTAGTAATGTCTCAACTCTTTTTTTTTTTTTTTTTTTTTTTTTTTTTTTTTTTTT